TGTGCACAGTTAATATCTATAAACATTTGCTTTTTAAAAATTAAGTTATTTCATGTTGAATCTAATGCATCAATTTTTTGGAAAGAAAGCTGCAGACCACGTACAGAGCAAAGCCGTTTTCTCCAACATTTCTGTATTGTTCTTTGTGACAACAATCTAAAACACAGCCAAAGCAGCATACTGCAGATATTGGAAATGTAAAACAAAAACAGAAATTGCTGCAAATACTCAGCAGACCAGGCATGCACCTGTGGACAGAGCAACAGAGTTGATGTCTCAGCGCTGTTCAGTAAATCCAAAGTTTCAACTCTCTCTGCAGATGTTGCCTGACACAGTTTTTCCAATATTTTCTATTTTCATTCCTAAAACTAATGTCATTGTTCCTTCAAATGTCTGCATTCAAAAGGCTTTAACTGTTTCCTCTTTAATAAATGCAGTGTTCTCCAGGTCAAACACATCACAAATGTTATCCAAAGCATGTGCTGGCCATGGATCAAGTTGTAGGATCCTCAGTTTTGAATTAGAAAGTTTGTTCAAGCTCTATTGCAAGACATCAGTCAGTACAAAATGCAGCTTACACTCTAAAGCAGTAAAGGATCCAATGTGAAAAATGAAATCTCGGCAAAGGTGCCAATGCCTCAGGAGCTGTATTCTCGCTGAGTTTCTAGTTATAGCTGACGATCTAATCTAAGATGACATTAGTCAGACACAAGTCAGAAGTGTGACAGAATTGCCCCACTTACCTGGACGGGTGCATCTCCAATGACACTCAAGCTTAACACTATCCAAGACAAAGCAACTGCTCGATTGTTATCGCTTTCACTCCCTCCACAACCAAGGGTCAGTACCAACAGTGTGTGCAATGAAACAGGTGCACTGCAGAAATTCACCCAAGACTCCTTAGGCAGCATCTTCTAAACCCATGACCATTTCCATCTAGGACAAGGGCAAGAGATGTATGGAACATCACAGCCTGTAAATTCCTTTCAAAGCCACTCACCATCCTGACTCGGAAATATATTGTCATTTCTTAGTGTCATTGTATCAAATTCCTAGAATTCCCTCTCTAATGGTATCGAGGGTCTATCTACAGCTGGGGACCACCAAACTCTCAAGGGCAGTTAAGGAATAGGCAATAAATGCTGTTTTGGCCAGCACCTCCCACATCCCATGAGGGAATTAATAAAGAAAAAAATCACAAGAGTTTTGCTGAGGCTGTCATTTAAGGCTCTGTCTATCCTTCAGATGTACGTAAAAGATCTCATAGTACTACTTCAACAAAATCAGGGGTGTTACACCTGGATGATATTTATCCAGCAGTCATCACAAGAAGAATATTATCTTGTTATTGAGACATTGCTGTTTGTGGGAGCTTGCTCTGTGTAGGTTGATGCCCAATATCCTAAAAGTGTTATATTTTTGTTTCTCGTTCACAAGATGTGGCTGCCACTGGCTAGGCCAGCTTTTATTACCTACACCTATTTGCCTTTGAGAAGATGGGGAGCTGCATTATTGAACCACTGCAGTCCATGTCAGCACACTATATTGCTGACAAGAAGGGATTTTAATCGGGGTCAGTGACAGAATAGTGATATAGTCCCAAGTTAGGATGGTGTGTGACTTGGAGGGGAACTTGCATGGTAGTGGTGTTCCCATGATTCTAGTACCCTTGTTCTTCCAGATGGTAGAGTTCACAGGTTTGAAAAGTTTACAGCTCACAGGTATTTAACTGGTCTAAAATGTTTTGGATATACTGAATTCATGAAGGGTAGTACAGAAATATAAGTTGTTCCTTCTTTGAGGCAATACATTACATGCTCCAACTATATCAGCATAAGGAAATTTTCCCAATCTTTTCTTAAGTGCTCGTGTTAATTTTAAATTGATGACATCTCTCTAGTCAACCCTAACCAGAGGCAACACTCCACCTTAATTTCATCTAAAAGCATTCAGAATTTGAAATCTCAGATGAACCTCCTTGTAGCCTTCCATACTCCAGTGGAAATATTCCCTGCATCTCGTCCTAAATTTTAAAGTTCATCGTACTTTTCCTGCCTCCTTTGCATTTTCTCCTTGTTTTTCCCAATCCTTCACTGCAACTGAAATTTAAAATACTTCTTTTTTTGTTTACAACCACTTAACAGATTCACTGTCTATCTTCACTGAATAGTTACAGTGCAGGAAACCAGTCTATTTTGCCTGCACCCATTCTATTACCTCGTGCCAATCTCCCTCCCTTACCCCTGCACACCATTTCTATTCAAACAATCATCCAACACCCTCTGGAATGCTTCAATTGAACCTGCCTCCACCACATTTCCAGGCAGTGCATTCCATTCCCTAACTGTGAAAAAGCTTTTCTTCACTTCACCCCTGCCTCATTTTCACATAACTTTAACTCTACGTCCTCTCTATTTATTTCCTTTCTTTTTACAATGGGTACAGCTTTTTCTCATCTACTCAAATTGTCAGTCTGCTCACAATTTTGATAATCTCTATCAAATGTCCTCTCAGCCTTCTTCTCTCCAAGGAGACCAGTCCAACTATTTTAGAGGGATTTGAACACCTCCACATATTGTCTCCTAACATCCTATACAGCCCTCCTTCTTTTCAACCCTATTTGTTCTATTTTCATGATTATATTGCCAAGTGTATTGTGCAATTGCCCCCTGCCATAGTCTCCCTCAAAACCTTCCTCTTTGACTGAGCTCTTTGTCACGTCATGTAATTTCTCCTTCTTTGAACTGTCTGCATATCTTTTTGCAATCAGTCACAAAATACAGTACAAAAAGGAAGCCATTTGGCTTATCTTCTTCACTTCCTGGTCTGTCTGAAGTTTCAGAAATGACTTGCTTTCATTCTGATTTGATGGCTTCTGAGTTGGCTACTGGGTCCAACACACAACCAAAACTCTTCCATCTGCGGGACAATTGGTGCTTGAAGGTTCAGGCACAGATGAGTTATTTAAACATTTATATGCACTAAGTCCCAATTCACCGCTGCATGTTGCCAATGGAGTCTCTCGATGCATTTGCTGCTTTCCCAAAGCAGCTTTTTCTGATTAGCCAAAGACTCCCATGAGATTTGAGTACGTTGAACCCGTTTGGGAATGTTTTGCATCATTTAACCCACCACGTTTGTGTCCACTCTTTGAAAGACTTATCTGATTGATCCCTTTCCCATGGCTACATCTAATAACCCATAAATTTCCTCCCCCACAATGAAGTTGTATCTTATAGGTGATTTATAAATCAAATGCTATTGTAGTGGTTAACACCCATCTCTGGGGACAAATCAAGACAGAGTCATAGAGATCTACAGCACAGAAAAAGGCCCTTCAGCCCAGCAAGTCTAAATCAGTCATAAACAAATACCTAACTATTCCGAAGACATTCCATAGACACGACTCTTATTACTGTTTGGAAGTGGAAGAATAAAAAAAAAAGCCAGAACAACCCACCAAAGTTAATTCCTCATTCACAAAAATTCAAGACGGCAGCTAGGACTGGTGCTCAAGCTAATAAGCTGATACCAAAAACGCACAGTGGCAACTAGGGGCCATTGTTTCCAATGGTCTTTAAAAAAGCAGAAATTTAGAGATAGTAGGAACTGCAGATGCTGGAGAATCTGAGACAACAAGGTGCAGGGCTGGATGAACACAGCAGGCCAAGCAGCATCACAGGAGCAAAGAGGCTGACGTTTCGGGCCTAGACCCTTCATCAGAAAAGGGGGAGGGGAAGGGGGTTTTGAAATAAATACGGAGAGAGTGGGAGGCAGATAGAAGAGAGGATAGGTGGAGAGGAAACAAACAGGTCGAAGAGGCGGGGATGGATTACGAGAGAGTTACAGTGGGAGAGAGATCCCTTGAGGTTTGTCCGGAGGAGTGTTTTAAGAGATTGTTTCTGGTACAGAGCTCTCCCGCCTCCGCACCCCAATGATGGTGGGAATACTATATGTTTTGAAAAGGCAATATTTAAAAAGATAGTTAAAAAAGAGCTCAGTAACTGGAGAAAAGCAAAACAATTCTTCAAAGTCACAACATGTACTATAGGCCAACCAGCCCCTTTCTGTTATATGGAAGGCACATTCTCAATGTAGAATATCCCCCCCAAAAAAAACCATTAACATAAAGTTGATTAGCTTCTATATACATGAAGGTAAAACAACTCAGCCTTTGCAAATAACCTGTGTTTTTAGAACAGAATATCCTTTATTGTCACATATACTCCAGTACAGAAGTACAGTGAGAAGTTTTCACAATGGCTGCCTTTAATGGCACCACCTTAGGTACAATTTATTAATCATAGAATCCCTATAGTGTAGAAACAGGCCATTCAGCCCAACAAGTCCACACCTACACTCTGAACAGTATGCCACCCAGACCCATCCTGCTACCCTGTAACTCTGCATTACCCTATGGCCAATTTAGCATAGCTAATCCATTTAACTTGCACATTTTGGGACTGTAGGAACAAACCAGAGCACACAACAAAAACCCATGCAAACTCCACACTGAGTTACCCAAAGATGGAATCAAACCTAGGTTCCTAGCACAGAGACAGCAGTGCTGACTACAGTGCCACCATACACTGCATCACTGAACTCTCAACTAACAAGTTACAACAACCTTTCTAGTGACCAGGTGGCTTCTAAAACCTTCAAGTCATTGGCTACAATACTGTGAACTTATGTAAATACAAGCTTGCACAATTGTGGGAAAAATAGAACAAAATTCAAGACAGCACAGTCACATATCTCTCCATCGCTCTTTACCTTCCACTGTCTATCACTCTTGACCTTCCTTTTCCCCATTGTCACCCACCTCGGCTTTGCTCCCCTCTTTCTCAGCTCCCACCACCCATCTTTCTTTCCCCGACAGCTGCTAACTCGTGCTCTACTGCACGTACACACCTCTAGGGCCTGACTCCATGCGGCGGCGGGCGAGGCTGTCATGGCGCTATGACGTTGCCCAAGCGGTCCCACCCCCTACAGTCGGCGGCCATTTTGAGACACCCGAAGGTATAAGAGTGGCTTGAGCACAACGCGCTTGTGTGTGCTCATCCTCCCTTAAGTTGCGGACGATCTTTTTTAAAGTCCTGACGGCAAGAACAGTGATCCAGTTCGGATTTATTCTAAGTTTCCCCATTTCGGAAAGAAAGCAAAATTTCCAGGCGGATTTTTTTTTTTGTTTTTAAACCTGCCAGCTGTTGCAGAGTAGCCCCCGACCCTTACCCCAGTACCGATAGATTCTTGAATTTTCCGCACAGCTGCTCCGTGAGGGGGTTTTGAGTTGAGGGGCGGGGTGGGGGCAAGGGGAAAGTAAAATTTCCGCCGTCGCCAAATTCCTGAGCTCGTATCGTGTCTCCTTAGATGGCCAGCTTCCCAGAATTTGTCAACGAGAATGAAATAGGTAAGGATGTGGCTGTGGGTAGTTTGTTGTGGGAAGGTGGTCGGGGTGGGGAGGGTGTAGGGTGACCGCCCGACGCTGGTTGGAACTGGATCCGAGCCTGGGAGAGGGCGGGGCAGACCCCCACTGCGCGGGGCTGCCATGAGGACCCGAGCAGGGGCTTCATAGCCACCTTCTGGGAGGGGGGTGGTCTGCGTTTGTGTTTGTCGGTCTTTGAATGTTTGGGAGCACGTTTCTCATTTTTCACTTGGGCGGGAGGGGGTAATTCCTCACCCCCCCCCCCGATCTTTTTATTTGCACCAAGGGGCGATAAATGCTTCCCCATTGCAAGGCGTGAATTCTTTATCCCTGCTTTTATGCGGTGTTGTTTGGATCATAGTTTGAAGATCAAACGCAGCTTGGTTGTCAAAAATGGCCCCCGCCCCCCCCCACTATCTGTTCTTTGATATTAGCTAACGCCCGTGTTAACATTTCTGTACCGTTCCTATCGTTCCAGTCACTATTGTTAGTCTATAGTCCAAAAATCTTCCTTATAAGATTAAGATGAACTGCAGCGTTGAGTTCCAGCATACTGTTGTCTCTTTGCTTAGAATCATTTTGAATTAATGTTTCTTATTTTATCATCACATTCTGCTCTTTAAAATAGAAATATTAAATTTTCAAATGTGAATACTGTTTTTAAATCTACTGTTGAAAGTGAAACAACTTAGTACAAAATATTACAACCAATGGTTTATTATTGGAAGCTCTAGCCTGGAGTATATATTTAATGAGTTGTTTTTAACACATAAATTTGTAAGGATATTGTTTGCTGACGTGGTATTGGGACTTCTTTGTTGAGTGACTTGGTTTAATTAATGCCAGATACTTGGCTGTGGCCAGTAGAAGGTTAACCTTTGGAGTTTTTATTGAATTTTCACTAATAGTGCCTTAACTGTTGATGTGCTCCCCTCTTTTTTCTTCCTCTGTCTTCACTTTTGCGAACAAAAGTTCTCGACGTGCAATCTATTCACTTGTCCCTTTGATAGGTTTGCCTAGGTTCTGCTCTTGAATTCCCATGCAGTCTGTACCACCTTGCTTGTTTTTAATACTATACCTTTGCTCAAGTCTTTGGTCATGCACTAAGTCATCCTTTGACTCAGCATACCAAGTCTTTATGACACCCCCAGACCCCTTTTCTCTGAAAAAAAGTTCTCGTTTCATGAAGTTGAATCAAATTACTTAAGGAAATGTTTCATTTTTTCTTTTGTATCGTCGTTTTCAAAGCTGAAAATGTCCAATTTGTTTTCCTCATAGAAAACGCAATATGGTCATAAGCCTTTAAAAATGTATCTTGCTTTTGGCCTTCACTCAATACACGTTTCCGAAAAGATATTAGTCCATGACTAGAAAATGTCCTTGGATTTATATCCTGCAGTGCAAGTCGTGTTCCCACAGTTGTTGCTGTCATTAGCATAAAGCTTTTTTGCTTGATCGACTTGGAGATAGACACCCTCGTGAACAGTTTGGCCACTTGGACAGAAACTGCGAATAACTTTGCTGTTGCCAAGAGTTCCAATTTGACCCTGATTTAATGTGAGCACAATGAAACCTCCAGAAGGAGTCATTTTCTCCCAGGATATTTTTAACCTTGTGACAATTTAAGACTTAAAAAAAA